AAGTCATTTCTTCTAAACTGCAGCTTAAAACCTTACTGTCACCGGGTAAAATATGAAGCTATTTACTCAAATAGTGCAGTGTCTTGTACCTTTATATTCTTCCATTTAATCAATTTTATTTTATATATCTTCTGTTTATCTTCTATTTTAAATCCTGCATTGTTTTATACCACCTGTGTGTCCTTGTATCTTTTTTTTATGTCCCTTGAAAAGCACTTGAAATAAGCAACATGAACTTAGCCCTATCTACCAACTGCAACAAGTGAAACAAATCTTGGTTTTATATGTTGAGTAATCATTAGAGAAGACCACAGTGAAATGGTTTTCATTCACATTTTAGCAGCAGTGTGCTTTATATCTGATCACCTCCCAGTAATTTAGATTTAGCCATTCAAGACTAAAATTCAAAGGATACTTTTGGCAACACCTGGGTTGTGGGTGTATCCAAATGCTCCAAAAAGCTCTTATGTCGTCATATCTTCTGGTAATTATGAACACACAAATTGTACATTGTTCGTGTATTGACAAAGAGGTGGGAAAATTACTTCTAGAAAATGTGTATGAAAGAAAGATTATTGATATTATGTCCTTAGAAAAACAAATAAAAAACGAAACCATAATAAACATGTCAGTGTCAGACATCAGAATATTACAAAGTTCAAAATGTTGTTCTACAGTGAAATCTTTTGTTTTTACAGAAAATTTCAAACAACGATTCAGAAAATCTCTTTACTGTAAAAATAATCAGCACTTGTCCGAAATTTTCTGGAGTGCAGATTAATAGCTAATGCACTGTTAATGTTATTTCAGTATTTCACACCCACTTCTTTTAAGTGCCCTTGCTGGATATAATTGAGCCACATTTAGCTAAGTAGAGGGAAATTAAATTTACTGTTAAACAATGACTGTGGTTAAAATACAACTATGATTAATGAAGTATGCATTCAGTATGGAAAGCCAAACTGTACGCTTTTGTTAAACCTGCCAAAAATAAAGCATCCATAATATTCTGACCTGCCTCTGATAATATTTTTCAGCTTTAGCAATAAAAAAAATTACAATGCGTATTAACAGTTGCCTGCACATAATATAATAAATGTATCACAGAGGTTATAGTGCATGCTGTCATCATATGGGAAACTGGCTATTGCCATAAACAAAGCATACGCATAAAAATCAATTTGGCTGCAGAAGAAAGTCAAATGTGTTTGAGTAACACAATAATGGGTGGCAGGCCTGTGTGTTTGTGTTATTATTGCGAGACCTATGGACAGAAGTCTCCCACAGAGAAATACAAGCCTCGTTTGACTGAGCAGATTATTGAAGAAAAAAGTTTTACCATTTGATCTTTACAGACACGGCTCTCCCCACCTGCACTCCCCTATTCTGTAGTTCATGTGGCATCAGATAGGAACAACAAGGAGCACACACACCTGCATTCACAACAAATAGCATTTTGATACCACAAAGCATTTGCCAGACTATATTGTCCATGAAATGTCCAAGATGATTTCCAGGACAAGAGACTGCAATTCACTTTCTTTTTTTTAAACCACTAAGTTCAACCTACAGAAAAAGAAAGTTTTCAAAGAACTCGATGAACTCCTGTTCATTGTTACTGCTTTCATTGGAATTAGGAGTGCAAGCAGCAGCCAGTTGCTGCTAATCAAATGCACCTGATTAAGTGTGAACACCTCTGTAAAGCAAACGTTTTGGCAGTTTGTTGGTCTAGAGCGTTCAGCTGTGTTAACACAGTGCTATGATTTTCTTGGGAGTGGATGCCAAAAACAAAATCCAAGAGACTCTACAGGCCTCAGTTAGCATGTTAAATGTTAAAAAAAAGTTCAAAGGTCAAAAAAAGACATGCTCTCAAGCACGGTGGTGGAAAAGCCCATTTATCCACCAGATGTCTGAAATTTTGTTGTGCAACAGCAACAATGATCCAAGCACAGCAACAGTAAATCTACAATGACTGAAAAAGAAAAGAATTAAGGTTATGCAATAGACCAGTCAACGTCCAGACCCCAAACCCACTGAAATGCTTTGTTAGTTCTGCATAAAAACATGTAGCTGTTAACCTCAATCAACCTAAAGCAATGTCGTAAAGAAGAATCGGCCAAAATGTCTCCACAACAATTGATATTGTACCTCCCCACCCTTCTATTCATGTACAGGCAAGGAATACGGCAGGGGAGCAGCAGCGAGAGCCAGCACAGACAGTAGCAATGACAGGGTCATGCAGAGAATAAAAAGGAGGAGCAGACATGGAGGTGCACTTCAGACTGGCTTGTAGATGCACAACAACTGTGGGTTGATTAAGCAGCTTAAATAGTGCACCCTATATGAGACTTGGCCGAATATTCAACAAAGGGTATCAGCAAAACCATCAGCTGATCTGCTGGGAATCACTGACTTAGTGGCCTGTCTGAACTAATTGCATCTTAATTAAAACCTCTAACCCGTGCAAAACAATGGCCGAGTGAGTTTAAAAAAAACAAAACACATAAACAACAATGCTGAACAATGCAAATCAGAAATGTGGTAAATCTGCTTCCGTAATGAACAGCTGCTTGTTTTTAATTTATATTGAGTGTGTGAGCCATTCATGCTTTTTCCCCACACCCTAATTTCTATAGAACTGGACCTCTGTTTAATTTTAAATTGCTGAGTCTTGGAGTCTTTCTGAGTCTTTCTCTGCACTTGTTTCGAGTGCTTGAACAAATGACACACTATTATAATTATACCAATGTTTACTAAGTGCCAGATGATTGCATTATTTCAGCAGAGCCATACAGTCACTGATGAAATTCAGACTGATATCCTTCCACCAATTAGTATGGTAAATATGATGTTAAACTTAGTACAACTTTGCAATGCGTCTTTGAGGTGAAGGTCATGAATGACCTATGATTTGACTTAACTTGATTTTATAAAAAACATGTAAACTGGAACAAATAAATATGCTAATTGGACACTTATTGCACATTACCTTTAGGGACTTTCTAGGTAGAAAGATGTTGCGGCATTTAGTTATTAGCATTATGCCTTTTTGACTGCTATCAGTCAGCTTGTTTAGCCTACTGGCTACTAAATACTCCAACCTGCTAAAATCATTCACTCATTCGATCTGAGACACATAACACATTTTAGCATGTGGTGGAAAAAGCTGCTCTTAAGGGCAGAAAGAATTGTTTCCAGGGATCTCTATTTTTATCCTGCCTTCCAGCTTAGGGTGCAGGATCCTTTGTGTAATCCATGCTTACATGTGTATTTTACACACAGACAATGTGAAAAATACAACACATTGCTATGGATTAGTACTGAAAGTGCTAATTGCACTAACAAATTTAGATGAAAAAATAACACCAACTAAATAGGCATAAGCATGTCTGTTAACAAAAAACCCCAACGCTTTAGCCAACTGGGGTTTTTCAACTACCTCAGGGACAAAGCTTTACCAAAATCTTCCAACTCAGACCCGGTGACAAGTGGAAAATTTGGAGTTTCTTAAAATATAATATTTAGTCTATTCCATCTCTAAACTGTTTTATTTACACTTAGTCTACACTCCTCCCATCATGAAAACCACGTTTTTATGCCTGACATACTACAGTACCACACTCCAACCAGATGAGCTCATGCAGCCTGTCACGAACCGGGACATACAACCATGACATTTGCACACACAAATGCCAATTAAAAAGACTATTTATTTTAAATTAAAGAAACAAGAGAAAAACCTAAACTAACCATGTGTACAGTCAATATAATTAGTGGCTTAAGTGAGTGCATGCTTGAAGAGACTGTGTACACAATGCTGTTTAGTGCAAAAACCCAAACTATAATCCAGAATGTGTCTCAGGGAGGAGAGCCACTACACAGTTGGGTTCTGAGGGCCTTTATAGTGCACTGATGAGCCCAGGTATTGCCAGTGCCACTGATGGAAATGAGCCACAGCAGCTCTCCAGCACCTACAAATGAGACCTGCCCACACCAACAAGCAAGAAGGGAGACCAGGTGGCGAGCATCGCCACACTTTCCAATCCAATAAACTACCATTGCAGTTAGTAGTAAGTGGTTGATTAGTGCGGCAACAACAAAAACACACTGAATGTCTTTTTAAAATACACAAAATGTCTTATTTTACATTCTATCGAAGTTCCTGCTGGAAAGTGCTGTACTGTACAAGATGCTTCCCTCACCGCAAACTCAGGTTTACTGCTGGATAAATTTTATTTCCACATTAGTTAACTCAACAACCAAGACAGAGCACTGATAGGTTTCCTCATCTCTCCATCCAAGTGTTTTAGAGACAATATGTGCACTGGTCTAATGATGTTTATGACTCCCAGAGTAGACATACAATCTCATCATCATTTCAAACTTAATAGCCAATGCGTGTGTGTTTTCTTTAGTTGAACAATCAGATCTTGGTCTTTTGTAATCAGTCATGACAAAAAAGGGACGTCTTTTTTGCCATGTCTGGTCACAAAAGACCAAGATTGTGCTTTTATACCGTCTATACACAGTTGTTATCACCAGCTTTGGTTCCTATCCTCAGGGATAGTTTAATCGCCAGGGTTCAGTTCACCAAGACTATTAACAAACCAGATCTCCACATTGAAGCGCAAGCAGGCTTCAGTTCAGCTGACTGAGCCAACAGGCCCTTTCAGAAGCGACTGGAGTAGAAGGCAATAACAACCCACAACAGAAAACAAAGTGTCAAGTTCAAACTTACATGAAATACACTGCACTAAAGGTGTTAATTAGGTGTTAAAACATTTATACACAGTGTGTACTGTATATGCTTTGGAGTGTAACCAACATTTACCTTTACATAATTTTCATAACCCAGAAATAAAGTAAACAGAGCAGAGCACAGAGGTTCGGTATGTCTGTCTTCACTGATCCACAAAGTGCCCTTTAGTTATTTTCCTTGACTAAACTGTAAGAATGGAGGGTTGGGGGGGGGGGGGGGGTGTATTGCTCTTCTTACTGACCTTTGTACCGAGCTGGAGAGAAGAAGCACTCTGAAGCAGAATTGGATAGATGGGCTACAACTTTCTCCAGAAGGTCAGCCAGCACTGAGGAGAAAAACCAGGCACATAAAAAATCATAAGATAGCAGGTCTGCATTAACTATTGCGTTCAAAGGAAATCCAATTTAAACAGTCAAATGTCGGCTTTCAACTATTTTTAGATTGTTGGTTCCATCCTGTTTTCTAAGCTATTAAGCAGCTGTAAGTGGATTGGACAGATACTTTCCATGTAAGACGTACAGTGTGCTCAGCTGGCATAAAGTCATTAGCATTATAAATACTAATAAAAGATAATATATAATAGAAGTTCAAAAACAAACCTGCTTCACTTCTAGGATAAGGATGTCTCTGACAAAGTAAATTATAGCTCAGCGAAAAAATTACATGCACTGTAATACAACACAAAAAATGTACATCTTGTATCAACTGTGGATTCACTGGCCCCGACTGTCACTCAGTAAACTGTGTCAGCATGGCTTTTAGTGTCACTTCACACGTCTGCGCAAAGAACCACCCACAGTCACTGAAGATCTAATTGTGGAAATAAGAGAGGAAGAGCGTGGTGAGGTAGGACGAAACAGTAAATAAAGACGATACAAAACCAACCTTCTACAGGCCAAAGAGTTTAACCTATTGTTTTAACTCGTAGTAGGCCAAATGAATAGACTGGTTTGTTTTAGTCTGTTTTGTGGCCAAAGAACTCCTGTCTTTTCAGTGCGCTTTGTGCTGGCACACCACAGCACACATCACAGTTCAGGCGTTTTCTGCCAAATGCTCAGCCTCAGATGCCTCAGGATGTTACAGTAGAAGTCTGCATTTACAGGCTGACCCAGAGGGACAAATGCATGGTGCACAACCTTGTGAAAGTCAAAGATTAGTATGCACCACATTGCTGATCTGATGTGCCAACTTTGACATTGTAAACTCCTGTTCGATCCAAAACTCACCACCAGTCATAACCCTTGCCATGAAGTCAAGTCAGTTTGAAAGCTGATGCTCTGCGTAGGTTTGCCATCCGAGGTGAACGTGCATGTGCAGAAATGCAAGCAGTCAAAGATTGGGCTAAAGCACTGGAAGTCATCCAGAGGTGCACAGGACCATAACCTTGTAGAGGATGTTGACCGAATTCGAATCAAATAGAGTTTTTACACCTCAGCCATAAAAGGCAGTTGGGCAGGTGGGCGGTGTCGACAAGCAAGTTTATGAATATGAGAACGTTCACAAACTTTTTATGTTAACAATAATGATAAAATTCAAATCTCAGTGATCTCAACCTCAAGGTCAAGGTCAGAGGTCAAGTTTTCTGAAAATCTTGTGAATGTGATAACTTGAGAACACAGTCACCTAGAATTTTTACATTCATACCATGGGTACATCTACTTAAAGTCTTGGACGAGTTCAAACTCCAGTCTCTTTGACCACAAGGTCAGAGTTCAAGTTTTCTGAAAATCTAATGAATGTGATAACTCGACAATGAGGCGATGTAGGATTTTCCATATTGATACCATAGGTGCAATTACTTAAAATATTGGAGGAGTTGAAATCTCAAAACCTCAAGGTCAGAGGTCAAGTGTTCTAAAAAAAATTTCTGTGAATAAGATAACTTGAAAACAAGCTGAGGGGTAGCACTAGCAGCTGCCACTATTTTTGTTTCTGGATTCAATAGATTTGGGAAAGTAGGTATTATAGCTTCCTTGAAATTCCTGGATGGATTCTAGTCCCTTGGGCTGTTGTCTGCTGCTGTGTGAAGTTTGTTTGATTGGATGGCTCATATTTCACACTACCTTTGATTAACATTTTTCCACCTTCCATTCTTTTCCTGTTTGTGTCCTGGTATAAAATACTTTTATTTACCTTTTTTGAAGCATGTTTTTGTTATACTACTAAATATGTGAACTAAGTGTAAGGTGTTTTGTAAACACAGTGGCACAGCCTTCCAATCATTTCACAAGCTGCCAATTCAGAGAAGACTAAAAGGGCTGATCAAACCTATTCACTCCACAGCTCAGTAACTCTGAGCACGAGTGAATGCATTTCATTGATATGCTGCTGAGGAAAACCAATTAGGGAATTGATAAGCTGACAAGATAGTAAGGTATTGAACGTGAAACAGTTCTAATTGTAAGTGTTTCAACCAAGAGATAGCATAATCAATATCATCATCCAGCTGAATAGAAGCTTGTCAAAGACAAGTGATAATCACAGTGTCTTCATATTCAGAAATAGACGCAAGTAATTGTTGAATAAACTTCCCAGGAAATCAGTTTCCTTTAGTAGTCAGTTCATAAAAGATAAAACATTTCCTTCACTGAATGTTTCTCGAGAAGTGAAATACCAGGTTGTACGTGGTTAATGATGTGACACATGAAATAGCACTTCGACAGGAAAGAGAAGCCTAAATGATAATAAATCTTGATCATGGTCTTCCAGTGAAAAGCCTCAAATGAGCTGTGGAGTAGTTGCTTTTACAGGCTTCAACAGTGTACTGATGAAAGGAGGCAATCACTGTGCAGTACATGCATTAATGACAAGATTGTCAGCCCTCCTTCATTTGAATATATTTTTGTCTTCGTTGAATCACAGCTATTTGCTCCTACATAGGAAAAGTAGGCGTAGGTGCAATTTCACAGTGGCTGTCAACGACATTGATGATGAGTCTTAAAAGGTTCATGGACATCAGGTTTATGTAATCTTGGTGAGGAAAAGTGTGAAGTGCACCTGAATTTCAATAAAAGCAATCAGGAGAAAAGGAGGCTAAATTTAAAAAAAAAAAAACCCTGAAAACCTTCAGATTGTGTCATCTGGATTTTTTGTTCTTTTCACTATTAATATATTTAGCATATATTACACCCATCAAGTCAATAAGAAAGATTATTTATTTGACCTTGTGCATCCAACACACAGGGGTGGTCTCCCTCCTGAATCTGGATCATCAATGTTTATGTAGTCATATTTTCATAGGACTCCAGTCCTGTGAAAAACTAAGTCCACCCCACGATTCACCAGCTTGTAAAAACACCTTTAGCAGCAATAACATGAAATAATTGTTTTCTGTGTGACTTTATCAGTCACATGGACATTATTGTGCAGGAACTTTGAGCCAGTGTTGCTTACAGCTTTGCTCCACTTCATTGAGGTTTACAGGCATTCTTTAATGTGCAGAGATCAATCCACAGCATTCCCATAAGGTTAAGATCTGGACTTTGACTTGGCCCGTGCAACACCTTGCTTCTTTTCTTTTTTGGCCACTCTGTTGTAGATTTGCTGCTGTGCTTGGGATGATTATCCAATTGCATGACTCAGTTTCAACTGTTGAAGAAAGCGCCTAAGATTTGACTCCAGAATACTCTGATACACTGAGTTTATGGTCGATTCAATGACTGCAAGTTTCCCAAGTCGTGTGGCAGCAAAATAAGCCTAAATCATTGCCCCTCCACCACCAGGTGGTATGATAAGTTTGTGCTGATATGCAACAAAACATCTCTACTCTGGTGTTAACTGTCCAAAGGACATTGTTACAGAAGCCTTGTGGTTTGCTCAAATATAACTCGCAACACTAAGTCGTACTGTCAAGGTCTTTTTAGAGGGAAGAGGCAACCGTTCTAAATAAGCCATGCTTGTTCTTTTTCCAGTTGTACTGTCACGAACTTTAATATTCATGATCCTGCTACAGTAAATGAGGCCTGTAGGTTCTTAGATGTCCCTCTCACTCTTTTTTCTGAGCATTTTGTAGTGATCCCTGTAGTGATCTCGTACGTGTCAGGAGCAGTTTTGGTCAAGTTACTTGAAAAAAGTAATCAGTAACTAATTACTGATTACTTCCCCAAAAAGTAATCCCGTTACTTTACTGATTACTTATTTTCAAAAGTAATTAATTACTTAGTTACTTTTTAAAAACACGATTTACAACCTGAAGAGGTGATAAAGCGATAGATCTTTCAGCCCAATTCTACTTTTTCTACATAATCCATCATACAAAATGTAATCAAATGGAAAAGTCTCTTTTTTTAACTTGTTTTATCAGTTTTAATCTTTTAACTTTATGCATCAAGCAAAAATTTAATTATATGCAACATTCTCTGACTTGAATAAATTAGTTTAACATTTAAACCTATTTTCTGCACATTCCAGCACATAAAATAAAATATTTTTTGTGTTTACACTCACTCTTTCAAATAGATGCAAGTAAAACACAGCAGAAAATAAATAAAGTCAAAGACTCAGCGGTCCTGTTGCTCTATTTTCACCTGTAAAGCAGGACTGGGGGTAGGCGGAGGTTTACCCTGGTGCAGGTGTGCCGCGGTCAGTTGAAGAATCCGCGAGTTTCTCTGTGAATTTCCCATTACGTCGTTGCGCACTCGGTGCTTGCTTGGAAGTTTAGGGGTTTTTTTCGCTGTAAAAAGAAGTTTTCTTCCCACGCACGATGGACGCTAATGTTTTTGTCACTTTTTATGGAATCAAACTCAAAGTAAGGTCAGTACTTCCACGCTTTAAACGCTGCACGCTCATACTCTCTCCGCACTCGATATATGATCCATTGTTGATCTGCACACAGCTGTTGTCACGAACGTCGCACTCGCTTACGTCACTGTCATGAGACATTCTCGCAAAAAATCACGGTTTTAGTAACGCAGCATTCCTACGGGAAAGTAACGGTAATCTAATTACCGATTTTGCAATAGTAATCCCTTACTTTACTCGTTACTTGAAAAAAGTAATCAGATTACAGTAACGCGTTACTCCCCATCTCTGGTCAGGAGTATCGGAGCAGTTGAGACGCATTTTTTCTAAACACCAGGTCTCTGTGGCTTTTAAACCCCAAAACACACTGCGCCAAAAATTGGTCCACCCCAAGGATCGGGTCCCCCGACACAAACAGAGTAACATAGTGTACGCTGTTAAGTGCCAGGAGGATTGCCAGGATTTATACATCGGGGAAACCAAACAACCTCTGGCGAAGCGGATGGCACAACACAGAAGAGCTACCTCGTCAGGCCAGGACTCTGCAGTCTATTTACACCTACAGGCCAGTGGACACTCTTTCAATGATGAGGATGTACACATCCTGGACAGGGAGGAACGCTGGTTTGAGCGCGGAGTCAAGGAGGCCATTTACGTGAAAAGGGAAAGACCATCTCTGAATCGAGGAGGGGGCCTAAGGGTACATCTGTCACCATCTTACAATGCTGTGATTGCAGCCATTCCCCAACTCTCTGTGAATGGTACTCATGGCCATTGATCAGTGGTTGTTGATCAATGGTCATGAGAATTTGCATAATTAAATTAAGGAACTGACCTCCCAGCCCATTGTTCCTTCAGTGGGCTGGTTTCAGTCATTATGCAAATGTACTGTTTATAAGATTGAAACCTGCAGTCAGCTGAGACTGAAGAAGTCACTTGGATGAGTGACGAAACGTTTCTCCCACTGAAAACGCTACGTCCAGATGAACAGAATCAACTTTTGGAGATTTTCTGAGCATTGTTCAGACCACATTTCTAGAGTGGGTCTGACCTTGAGGTGAATTTGCTGGAACATAAACATGCTAACTAAATGCTTCAGACCAGTAAACTGCCCAAATTTCTGCTTTTAGTGAGGTGTTTAGACTTGTTGATGATCAGCTAATCAAGTGAAATCTGATTAACAGTGTCAGATTGCTGAAGAGTCCTGTAAAAAAGTCTTACACACCAGTAAGAAAAAACAAAGGATAAAAATGATTTTAAAGTAATTTAACACAGTTAAACTGTTTGTTCATACTTGTTTGCTTTTGCTTCGATTTACCATCATCCCTTTCCTTTGTTTCTTAATTTTTCATCCTCTCGCTACGATATCAAGGGATATGCAAAGCTCACCGCCAATCCTTACAGCAGTTTCTCCAAACTGCCACCTCTGGCTTAGCTCAGTGCTTCATTATCAATCAACATTTTTCATTTGCATTGGGGGTTGAGCTCCTTGCTAGTGGATGTACATTTAACTCTTTTCCTTCTAAAGACATCATGTGACAAGACCTTTAATATCAATCCGAGGGAGATAGTTAAATAAAGGTGTTTTTTATTATATAGAGTCAAAGAATCCTTAAAAAAAAAAAAAACGACTATAGAAGAATTCTTAAACACTAAAGATGCTGTCCTGTCCCTGCTCCAAAAATACTCTGATAATGAAGCTATAAACATGTACAAGCACAATCTACAGGGGAAAAGTCCCTTTAAACCTTATTTTGGGCAAAGTCACCAAACCTTTGAAGTATTTTTGTTATTAGATTTGACTCTTGATTCTATACATGGAGCTTTAGTCATGTCCCAGTGACCAGTGAAATTAGTTTTAGCTCTCCCATTTATATAGCTACTGAATTCAGAATAACTGCATCACACAGATGCAGAACAGTGGAAAGAGGATAACACTTTTATTTTATTTAAATAATTCCTTAGATCAGGATGGTGGTCTCTTGGTGGTGTTACTAATTACTTGTGTTATTTACAGTCACTTAATCACTCTGTCAGTCAAGCAAATATGTTACTATAAAACAGCAAACACCAAATCTAGTCACTTCTTTAGTCTTAGTTGAATTCGATTTATCTATGAAGCCTTTCAGGAGGCTTAAAATGTTCTTGCCCAAACTATCCTTGGCATTAACGAAACGTAAATATTTGTGACAACATGGCTTATGTGAAAGCCAATAGAGCTTATTTGAATGTGATTAGAAGATGTAAGTGCTCACCTTTCAAGATGCATACATAAACTTTACTCCTACCATCAATCCATGCCATTAAGTAATCAACTAACTGCAGCACCGCTGGGTCCATAACTTCCTCTCCAGCAGAGCACAAGCAGTTAAAGTTGACAATTCACTGTCACCCACCATTATTCTCACTCCCACAGGGCTATGTACTCCATTTCTCACTACAAACGATAAATTACAACTACTCTTGGCTTAAAACACGGGAAAACACGCGCATTCTTGCACTCGTCAGTAACAGCAGAGAAAAGGGAGAAAGTCTTTCTCCCCTAGTATTCTGTGTCTTACTTTCTCCATCTTAACATCTCAAATACTGAAATCGGAGACATACCAGTGACACTTAGAAGCATTGTCTGCTAACAGAGACACACAGTTACCTGCTTCTCCAACCTTCTTCTTCGGTACCGAAGCATTGCTGAGCAGTTTTTTTCTGCTTTTGTCTATTTTTTTACATCCTTACAGTTGAACCACTGAGAACAAACTTAAAGTTAACTTTTTCAGCCAGTAAGCTCATTGGTATTCCCATCTACAATTTAAATGTGTCCCCTCATCCCTGATCCACAAAACACTCACAATCAAACCATCCACTCCACCAGCATTTCACACTCTTTTCTTCCTTGTGTTCCTAGATATAAACTACTCTGGTGCTCTCAAACAAAAAGAGAAATCCTCCATGGGGTGCACAGTGTTAATATATGCCTTTGTCTTACTGTTTGACTCCTTTAATTTAAACCCTGCATTTTTCATCTTTTTGGTCAAATAATATTCCTTAAGGAGAAACTAAGAAACAACAACAGTCATTTGTTTTAAAAAGATTCTTTAAATTGCAAATCTGATGTGATAGCCAAATTTACACAGAAATTATACTGAGATCTGTCATCATTCTCCACATTCCTGGAGGCAAAGAAAAATAGCTAAAGCAAATGGAGCAGATACACTGAAGGTGAATTAAGCTGTAGGTACAAAATAGTTCAAAAATGACATTAATTCGACGAGCTTCTTCACAGGTATTTCTGAAATCGGTAGCTGTTACATGTTCTAATTGGTGTGACTGTTACCACTAGCCATTTCTTTCTAAAATCCACAAGTTAGTCTCCTTTCTGGTACTGTTGTTTGAATGAAATAGCGTGAAATACATTATCACCAATCCTCAAGAAGTAATGCTCAGTCATACTCAGCACAGTTTGTGAAGTACTCTTCATGACCCTTCAGTTAGCTTTTCTATACTTTTTAAAAATAAAAAATTCTCTCACACTTTAAGAGAAACATTTTTAGTGTAAAAAGATAATTTGCACTTTTTTCAACTGCTGCAAGAGCATCTCTTCTACAATCAACACAGGGGGCAATGTAGTGTATTAGAAATGTGATGCGTTTAACTAGATGTGGGAGAAACAGAAACCCAGAGAGCCAGCAGCTTACCCTTTCCAGTTAGCACGTTGGGTTTTGACGTCATGACTTTACAGTACAACGTTCGGCAGGCTTCCACCCAGCTTCCGTCATTCTGTGGATCTTTCCATGAAGACAGAAACGCACTGATCTCGGAGTCTGAAGACAGACAAAGGACTAGAGGTGAAAAAAAAAAATCACAATAACACTAAGATATTATTAGTGAGTTCATCAATGTTCCTCCTACCCTGTGAGGTATGTAGGATGTCTGGTGGATCCAAAGTGTAGCAGCGAGGTACGGGATAGCATGAAAACCAGGGCCAGGGGTAAGGATGTTCTCCTTCTCCCTAGAGCAAGCAGATTAAAAAAAAAACCCTGATGCCCACTTATTACAATGTTTAATACGTTACGCTTAAATCCACACGGTTACAATGCCATGATAACAAAAACATATTAAGATGTGGTGATTAGCACTGCAAGTCCTTTTCAGACTTGCATGAGTCACGTTATTTCCATTTATTCTCTTTGTCTTACTCTGACTATTTTATGGCTGTTTTTCTGAATTTTTGACACATTATTATGCAGGGCTGCTAGCATTTGTTTGTAATTCAATGGAATATACTTTATCTTTCTGATGATAATGTATGGTGACAGTATTTCTGAAACACGGAAAATTATGAATAGCGTAGTGCAGTTAAACAGTGTTGATGAATTCATTACTGAGCAATTGTTTTGCTCTGAGCTGGTAGCATTTCATAAAATGGTTGTTTATATTTATGTGCCATCACTTATTTCCCCCCTCTTTGTTTTTTTCCCCCTCTTTTCCTCCTTCATTTATTTCTTTATTTGTATAACCCACTGCCATTTAGTGCCGCATTCATTATTTTTCTCATTACTTATTTCTGAAGAACCATAACTTTTGGGTCATAACTCAGCATGTGACTTGCCAAAATAATATGCTCTAAATGTTAATGAAGTTTAGAAAGCAGGCCTCTTTATCCAATTGTCTGTGCCCTACACTCATGATAATCCCTGTTGGTATTTGAGTCTACCACTCAATGATGTGCTTGTCTGAAGATGTTGGAAAAAATTGGAATGGCACACAATCTGTATGCAGCTTGAGAACTTGTAATGAATATGTGAGCAGCATGATATTGTTACACTATTGGCAGGCTAGTCAATTACAGAGACAGACAACTATTCAGGATCACAGTTGCCGCTACAGCCAAACCTGAAGTGCTACATGACATTTTTTGTTTGTTTGTTTGTTTGTTTGTTTGTTTGTTTGTTTGTTTGTTTGTTTGTTTGTTTGTTTGTTTGTTTTGGGGGGGGGATATGACAGGAAACAGGAGCACTTGAAGGCATAGAGACAAACCCCACATGACCTTGCTGTTACTGTAGGTAACAAAGCGAGCCTTTAAATTTCTGTGTCCTTACATTATTAGGAAGCTGATGGAGAGGTAAGTTTTCAATCATGTTTGCTGGCCAGCAAGGTTACACAAAAACTACCAAGCTGGGTTTCATTAAATTCACGGACATTCAATTTGAGTGCACCTCTAGTCACTTTCTTAAAAAGTATAAGACAGGGTTCCTCAGAGTGTCTGTCATGGTTCAGCTCATGAGCCATGATAAGTAATGGGAGAGACACATTAAAAACTGCACAATTTATCAACCAAAAATAAACAATCACAGTTAACTTTATAAGGTGTCTAGTCAGCTTTATCAGTGTGTCAACAGATGGATGAGTGTTTGGATGGTAGGTGTGTGGTGTTGTGAGTGTATAACCTAAAATAATCAGACTAAAGCCAACCAAAAAGATAGCACGGTGCTGGGTGGATGGACAGAGAGCAAAAGCCAGCTTTTAAATGCCCCAAGGAGACTGACCTTGTGACTGACTCCCAGTTGTGCTAATTAACTCAAACTAAAGGAACAAGCAAAACAATACAGATGGACACACACAGCAGGCAGGGCAGAGGGCTGTCACAATACAACTGTATTTTTCGTTTGTTCGTTATTGCTTTTTTGGGATTTTTGGGGAATTTGACTCACAGCATTAAACAGTTTCTTTAAAATCCTAAATTACATTGCATTTTAATGAATGTAACGTTATGCTATGTAATACGATACTAGATACAAAAGAAAATAGTTGATGTTTGATGTTGCAGATCTCTGCATGTGTGCACAGCTGAGTAAAGTTGCAGAGAGGCTTTTGTGCTCAGTGTTTTGCTTTTATACTGATGTCTGACTGTAAACCTCTCTGCTCATTTTATAAAGTAACTTTGCTGCCAGTATGTGTCTGTTTTTAGGCCTGATCCCAACATAACACGTCTAGCTCTGCTGTTACATTAAAGAAGCAGAACACCAAATATATACGGCTCAGCTCTAAACATTTGGAGTAGACTTGTACCATTTACAGTGAATCACTTCATTTCATGCCTCTAAAAAACTTGTTTTATTCGTTTTGAAGACTTCACACAAATTAAGAACTTATTTAACAGCTTTCTATTTCTTATATTCTCTACAAGTAACAGGGGAAGGGCATAAGAGAGACCTGTGAAACACGACGGAAACAATTTACACCTTCCCCCTCTTCCAAATTATATTTCATATCCTCTCCTTGACCTCAGCATAAATTAGTTCCTGTTTTCAGTTCTGCATAAACAACACCTAAATAATTTATTTCTATCCCAAAATATGCTGAGTAAATAAGCAAATAAACCTGCAGGCTTCAAACAACTGAAGCTCTGATGGTAATCAGTAGGACACTTCATCTGTAATAAACTGTGAGTAGCAGAAGTGCAGAACAGAAGTGGAGGGATGGGTTTTTGCACGGATTGTGACCAGAGGGAATACTGAGTTTGAGGAATGGTGAAGGGAAAAATAAAAACAAGTCAAGTCTCAGCTTATGTTGTCCCTTTGTTATTATTCGTATGGTTTTTTATACTCAAAGCTGCCGGGCCATTTACTGTTACTGTGCCTGCTCTCCCTGGGTCCTGTCTCTGTTTTTCCCCTGTCTGATCTGCTGTGTACCTAAACCTTTGTTGCCCACTAAAGTGTGCCTTTTTTGAACTGTAACCTCCTAGCTGCAGGTTGTGTATTTGAGTCCTGCGGTGTCCTTGTTTACTGGCTGTGAAACAAAAAAAAAGGACAAGATGATCCTATGAAACAATAAAAAAAACAACAGCAGTGTTACTGGCCCAGTAGGTCCTCTCTTTCCCTGAATCCACTGTAACTTTTTTTCCTGTTGACTTCACTCTGCAATCAGAAGCTGACTACAAAAAACTGGTGAGAAGGGTTAGCCAGGGCCAGTGGGCCAGTTTTGTACAAAACAAAAAACAAAACAAAAAACCAATTTTAAGTGGCAGCAACAGTCAAATCAGCATGTAGAAAGGTATGACTAATTCCATGCAATTCAAAGGAAAGCTCACCTCTTGCAAGTCTCGAGGAGGGAGCCTCCTCTCAGATGGTCCTCCAACGACACTAACACGAACCAGCACATGGTTCCTCTCCACTGACAGACTGTCTATGATGATAGTCCTGAGAAGAACAGAGAAGACTGGAGGTTATTTTACTGACATTTATTAAATCAAGTTAAGTTTCCGGACGTTTAGCAAACCCTCTTTAAAGGGAGGTTAAAGAAGAGCTCAGCAATGAGCATGGAAATCAGCCTTGATGTCATGCATCTTCAGTAGTTTGTATATCATAGGTATTTCTAGTTATGACTTAAAGAGAAAACATATATAAATATAAAAGGAACTTTTGGCCAATTATGCCCACATGGCATGTGCAATTACTGCCAATAACATTCCAAGGCAAGATTACCCTTCAAATGAAAATGGAACCACACTGGAAGTCACTCTATGTGTTTTTAAGTCCTGTGAAGTACTTTACACAGAGTTTGAAGCCTCTCAATAACTTAAACTGTACACTGCTGTGAGGCAAGTTAGAAAAGATAGCAGGGTTTTCAAGTTAGAAATTCAGATTAGATCAGAGAATATTCCAATTATAAAGGCACTTCAGGATCGAAGGGTGTCAGCCATGCTGGATAGTTCTAACAGCTGCAGCAATTTGGACTTGAAATGAGTAATAAAAAGGACTGTTCTCTTATATGGTGCTCTTTTTGGGTGCCTACTTGGCACAAAAGGGAATTTGCATACATTTTTAAGCACGAAAAAAAATATATATACACCCTCGTGGCTAAAAGAAGTGTAGTAAAAGAAAATGATTGATAAATCCTGGTGTTATTCATATTGAAAAGGTCAGAAGCAAAATATGAATAAAGAGACGGGCAAAAGAGCTACAACAGAAAAAGTCAGTCATGAAATGCCAAAAATGTGTTACGTTTAGATGACACTGAATGGAGAAGAAGGAAAGGGATGAGAATGAGATAGAAAAGAAATAGTACACTCATAATAACAATGAGAAAAAGAGAGGAAAAGAGATCAGGAGATGGAAGGATGAATTAACGACTCATCACTCTCAAAAATTGAGCTAGCACTCAGACATGCCATGCGAGCTGGCATTTCAGGGCCATTCCCATTCAAACCAACAGCAATGACTCTGCCAGAAATGAACAACAGAAAAGGGCTCTTGAATATAAACTCTCGGAAAGGGCCTTTTCCCTTTCTTTCTGCTTTATTTTATTTTATTTGTCACAAGGCAAACAAACAATTTCTCATCCTGAGCACTGATTAATTTCAAAAGTGTTCTGTCATATCGAAGTGATTCACAGAGAAACAAAAAACCTTCAAATATGAGAGTGACTGTGACAGCCGAGTGGGCATAGAGAGATTATGAAACAACTTCCGCTATTAGCGCTTTTTGTTGTTGGAGTTCTTCAGATTTCAAGTAAACATGCTTTTCCTGAAATTACTGTACATCGTATGTTTGAATTTTACAGCAAGCTCATAGACTGTAGATAAATGATGGCTACTTATAACCACTGTGATGCCACTCAGTGATTTGTAAAGTCCTGTTTTGGAGCCCTGACTGACTGTTTTATCATCTGTTTCACTCAATTCTGGGCTCATTAAACATGGCTTTCAAGTAGCAACTGAGAATGTAAGCTCATTGGGAAAATGTCTGCTAAGGTCATATTAGAGCAACGATGCAATTTTCTTGTAGATTTATTTGGTTTTGAATGGCACAGCAGTCACCCTCTGCTTGCCATAAGAAAGAATTTAGGTTAGGGAAATTTTTTTATTCCAGAGGTGACGTCTCCCAAGTCCTGGGGTGCCAGTAAGCATTGCTTTGTCCACTGGGATGTCATTTATGAACACAGTTTCCTTTTTCACCTGTACCCTGCCCATTAGTGATTAGGTGCATGCTCTAATCCTAAATCACAACTTCTTTCTTAACCTAAACAAACAGTCTAAACCTTACCAAGTTGTGTTTAACGCATGAATGTAACCAGTGAATGCATACAAAAGTGTAAACACAAAGAGTCAAATGAGATGTAAAGCCACCTTTCCAGCATCACAACGTAGACATTTTAGATCTCTAAAGCAGGACCATTATTTCTCAGGACCTAGTAAATGTGTGTCACCAACACTGAAAGATGTCCCTCCCTTTTGTGTGCCTTCTTCCTGATTTGTATATATTCTTCTTGTTTGTATATACTCATCTTGTCTGTTATTATTCTTGCCATCCTACTATGTATATTTCTTTTCCATGCACAGTTGGGGTAGAGCGCCCAGAATTTCATTGTACATATACAATGACAATAAAAGGCTATTCTATTCTATTGTATTCTATTCTATGTAACAAGGAGATGTGGGTGGTAACTGAAAAAAAATCATATTATATTACACCTCTGAATGAGAAAGTTTTTGTACTTTAAAAGGCGAGCTAGCCTCATTAACTCACTAGAAGCTAACTCAAATGTTGGTTTTAGTTTTTTAAATACTGAATTGTTTATACTTTTGACTCAGATTTCAAGCGCAGAAAAAAATAAACAACAACATAGTATATGAACTGCAATAAGTAATAATATTAGTAATTAACTATTAATATATTCTATCATTACTAACTTAAATACAAACTAGTACTTCAGTTTAACAAAAGCTAAACAAACACCTGTTAAAAAGACTGAAGAGAATTATCAACAATTATGAACAATAAAAAAATGAAACAGGTCCATAAATATTGAGACAATGACACAATCCTTATAATGTTCTACACCACCACGGTGTCTTGTAAGTCAAACAATCAAGATGTGATTTAAGTACAGACTTAGTTTGGAGTTGACAGTTTAGAAATTTTAGGCATTTCTTAACACTGTCCCAAATTTTGCCCACAAATTCAGCACCACCTTAAGTGGTTGCTGGTTTGTGGGTCTTTCTGCTTTGAGTTTTGTATTTAATAACTGAAAAGCATGCTTGGATTGACAGGAGGTGACTAAACTGACCATTGAAGGGCATCCCATTTTTATGCCTTCTTTTTTGGTGTTTTTTTTTTTACAGTGCGCTCTGGATCATTATCTATTTGTATTGTGAAATTCCTTAATTTTAACAATATGTATATTTTTCCAATTCTAAAGTTCTTACTCGCTCTGTCTCTGTTAGATTCATTTTGGATTTCTAGCCCAATGGTGAATCAGTGATGTGAATCAACACATCACGGGACCTCATACTGACTTGATTGATTGATTCAAGTCAACAGCTACCTGACTAAAGAGCCTTTATTTTGCTTAATTTTTCTTGGAATAACAATGGACAGACCTCTCATGGTTGAAGCTGCTTCTCAGTTAAATGTGGAGTAAACTGAGCCTCCAAAAATGATTGGCTTTCTTGATTGTTGATGTTGATGTACAAAAGCAAAATTACAAAAATTGTGTTATCATTCAAATATTAATGGACTAAACTCTTAAATAACTTGCCATAAATTTTTAAGCATGTGTTTATGAGTTCATACCCCTCACTGGAGTCTGGGTCAGTGACGTTCCGCATTTGACTCTGCAGCAACATGGAGCAGATGTTATATTGGCTCTCCAACAGCAGAAAGGAGTCCAGATTACAGCAGAGCACGTTAAGTAGTCTGCAGCAACACACACAAACAAAAACAGAGACATCAAAATACAGAGAGGCCTGGCAGTCTGAGATATTGTAGCAGAACAGCAGCACAGAGAAAAACGAGCTGTAATTTCTACCACACTATACAGCAGGGTAAAATCGTGCAGGCAAAGACCCCATTTATTCTTTTTGTTGTCTAATTCCCCCGGCCTTTTATGTCTGCAAGTACTAGGTTGCCCAACATAATTTTTCCCCCATCAGCTTGCTGTAGCCAATTGTAAGCTTTGTTAAGTAGCAACCCTTAGGAAAGGTTTCATGGTTGATTTTCAGTTGCTGGTAATGAAGCCAGACTCATACAGGCTGCTCAAAGGAGCTTTTTGAGAAAGTAAAGAAGCAGAAGCCAATGAAAACTCTGTGTTTGAGGCCAAGGTTCATGACCAGTAGAGAAAATAAGAAAAAAAACAATACCAATACCAAATTTCACTCCCTCACCACTTTATCCCTTCAGTACCAAAGCTGATTTTGCATTATACTGGATTTAAGAGCGTATTAGAGTTTTCCCATATGTACATCAAGGATACGCACCAATAATCATAACAATCTAGTTAATGTTTACTGTAATTCTGCCAAAATTGGTCCCTCATATTAAATTTCCCGCTAATTGTTTTTTTCAAAATGAGATTTTCCATGCTTTATACCTGAGTAGTGAACTGAAATGCTTAAGCATACTGGCACAACTGAGAGGACTACACTACAAAGAGACTTCACAAGATAGCAAGGTATAACAGGCAGAAAGCCAGAGGATGCCAAAAACCGTAACACGGTATAATGAGGTGAAGTGCCAGAGAGGATGCCGTTTTCACTGCCAACAGTGGATGCCCTTTAAGATCTTAATCATATGTAAAGTAACAAGGTCTCCGACCTTCATTTTGATGTTTTCTGCAGCAATTTAGGATATGCAAGAAAAGAAAAGCGATGTCAGTGTGTTTTTATGAAACTGTTTTAATTAGCTAAGAATCCCAGTCTGCACTGCAGAATTTCTTCTTCAGCGCTAGAGCTTTTAGTGAACCAGGTTTATAAAATAAGCCATTAAAAAACACTAAATTACAGAAATGTCAAAATTATTTTCAAACATTTAAAAAGGACTTTTAAAATTGTCTGGCTCTCACTTTTCACAAAATGTCATTTCAATTTTGAAAATGCATTTGTGTGTTTATGTGCTCAGAGACGACAGGTATCTGTGGACATTACTCGACATATTGAGTCTCTCTTGAGTGTTGTAGAACTTGTGAGAAACGCCACCTTTTTAGCAGCTGGACAGTTTCTTGGACTCCTGTGTAACTGACAGCTCTACTCACTCTTTCAGACAACAGCACAGCAAGAGGCTGAGAGTCTACTGGGCCTTGTGACCTCGTCTCAGTTTGAAACAAGTAAATGGAGGACAAAACCTACTTTCAGTTTGTCTACTTGATATTCCACTTTGAAGTGTGTTGAAGACCAGGTGTCGCATTAGTCTTTTTAACTGCATGCTTCTGGATGAATAACATCAGTTTACTATCACAGAAAGCAATCCAAGGCACTATTTATATAGTAGTTTTTTTCAGCGGTTGCTAAATATTTTCTAATAAATCATTTATAAACTGTCTTCGACAGCAGCTAAATCTAATGCTACAAAATGTATTTTTTACTTATTTAATCTTTATTTAATCAGGAAAACATGACTCTTGACATTTCAGTCTCTTTTGTCCCGGCCAAGCTAGGCAGCAGGCCAATCAGCAGTGGTTACACAACAGTTATACAAACAATATCCACACAGTGAAAAACGTGAAATAGAGAAACATCAGAGACTATCAACTTAAAAGTGCCTCCAGGTCATTCAAATTTATCTTAAATTCATTAAGGGAGACCGTCTCATGAAGATTTTGTGTTTCCGCAAAATAAATATATCTAGTTACTTCATCCCTACCATCTGCACTGTAGATACTTCACAGGAACCATAACCTTAAAGTAGAGCCTGTACACATATAATTAGCCAATGACAAGGCAGCAAATCATTGCATTTAGGCATGTAGATAGAAGAAGTTTAAACTGTTTACATTTGCATTATGGATGAGCAGAAACTGCGTGATGCTATCATGTCAATATGGACCAAACCCTTAGGAATGTTTCCATCACCTTGCTGAATCTATGCCATGAACAATTAAGGCAGTTCTAAAGGAAAGTGAGTAAAGCGAGTGAACTTAAGGATGCACAAAAGAAAAAGTTAACTACATAAATTCTAAACTTTAAAACTAAGGAAACACAAGGCATAACAAAGCCCTTGCCAGCCATTTATAATGACAGTGCATTTATGTTGTGTTAGTTAATCGTAACATGTGGTCAGCTTCTTACTTATTCCCTAGGGGTTGCCACAGCAGGTAGCTCTGCATGTTTGATTTGGATGATTTTTCCTGACACAACCCCAAAGGGACTGCTGCCTCCTCCCAGGATCAAACCGGGAATCTTTCACTTGTCAGGTGAACCTGCAAACCACTATATGGAGGTCGCTATGACATTACTGAACAGTTTAAATGGCACGTGCCACAATTAAAGCAGCATAGTTAACTTCACAGGAACCCAAACCATGTAATTAGGACAGAAATGTATAAATGGCTATTTAGTGGCACAAAGTGAAGCAGTGGGACAGCACTAGTAATTTGGTGTTAATTGCAATTTGCAATTAAAAGAAAAAAGATCAGGAGAGTAAGCTAATGGCCACACTCAAAATGTGATTATTCCACATTATTTCAGACTTGTTATGCCCCTTTTTGAAGCGAGACATCTGTTCACTTCAAACGCTGCAATTCATCTCACCTCACGCCTCAGTCTTATTGTCATTGATGGTGACCACGTCTGCGGCACACTTCATTTAATGTTGAAAGACATGCGAGCGGTAAAAACACCCACTTGTGACAGATGATTGCTTACTTGATGATGTGCCCACACACCTACATGCATCACAAGACTTATGTATAAACCAATTACAGCAAGCCAGGAGTAATCTGCCTGACAGCATGACTGATGAGCGTCCTACGGATCGATTAGTCATGCATTAGGTAAGATGCAAATGGTCAACTTTATGGGTGTGCTATTTGGGAGACTTCTGTCATTTGAAGTCAGAGGGAGAAATCAAACAATCTAAGACATCAATATTTATATGCTGCTGCCAAATGAAATGTTAAACGAATTCATACATTTTCAATCAAAAGAATCAGCAAACAAAGAAAATCTCCTGAGATGTGGCCAGCAAGACTTAGAGACTGGTGTAGACCAACAACTAGTTCGTCCCAGAAACAAAGTTTTCCACTTCTGCGCGCATACAGTGAAAAGTTGAGAGAAAATTAGTATCTAACCCATTCTCCACAAGTCAAAACACGTGTTAATGAGCTGCATATATTAGAGCCGCACTCTGAAAGCCCCACAGACTGAACACCTGCAAATATCAGTTAGCAGCTTCATTTGGCCCTTAGCACTGCAAATGAGTCACAGTAACAACATGACATAAGCTGCTAATCCATCATTAAAACAAAACAAAGCAATCTCTACTGCATTTTCCACCTTAGGACTCTTTTTATGCCAACTGTACAAAAACGATTAAATGTCTTATTCCTTTATGTTCTTAAACTCTGGTAAGAACACTCTAAAAGGTTTTCCTTTGGATTTATCCATAGACTGTACATGAAATAATATGGCTATAGAACTCCATCCTTGTATCCTTGAGGTCAATGGAGAAGTCACATGAGTTGCTAACGTGGTGGTCTTTTTAAAAAGAACCACAAGTGAAAAATATCACTTCATTAACAAGGCTAAAATCTTTAAGTATAAGGGAGTACATAACCTTAAAAGTGAAATGAAAGGTTTGATAAATTGAGATTAGTTTCTCATCCTGTCCACTCTTATTTTTCATTCATGCTGAAGAGACCATCCAGTATAACTCCTGACTCTGTGAAGGCTAATTAAAGAAAATCTTAAAGGCTAAAAAGCAGCATGTTTAACTAATGCAAACTGAGCTATAGTGATCCACCAATTCACTTTGATCATTTTAATGGGGAAGTACATAGTAATATATGATAGTATGTACAGTAATAGAGCTCATAATGTTGGTTTAGAGAGCATTTTGAGTTTAACATTACCTGAATATTCAAAACACATCAGCAGGTTATGGCAAGAAATGGAAAACGTGACATTTGTATAATCTGTGTCACTTGTGGGCCATGTTGATCATATTATTTCATGAACGATCTGATTGTGTGTTGCTATTAATTGTGAGACAGGTTTCCTTTCATTCCTTTCTGCTAAAGGTGATGATAAGAGGAAGCACTCAACCAGCCTTCCTTAGGAATGAACCAGTTCTTATTGCAGCTTCCAAACAGATAATTTTGGGTCATTTATCTCAGTTAGCGATTCTTTTCGTGGGTTCCTGTTTGATAGCAACCCAGATGTCGCAAGCAAGAGACACCTGATGTTGGATGGAATTATAATTTACAAAATCAAGATCAGCTTGGATTTAATAGGAAACTACAAAAACAAACTAGTGATTGACACTGTTTTTAGTCAGTAGGAGTCGCCCTCTGCAGGCCAATAGAAAGAAAGCAAGTTTTAGCACTAACTGGAAGTTGCAAAAACAACTGCGTTTATATAGCAGTCCACAGGAAAATGCCCCATGCTCACTGAGTCTGTGAACTCAGTAAGCAGGTTCCTTATTAGTTTATAGGGTCAACTGATGAGAAAATAATTATTTTAGTCAGTGTGATTGTTTTTAATGTCGCTCTTAATTGATTGTTTTTTGTATATTTTTAACATGTTTGTACGGGATATTGTATTTGTTTAATTGTTATGTACTTATGTGGTACATGTATTTTAGACTTTTGCTGCCATGACGCCAGGTCTCTCTTGGAAATGAGATTTTTAATCTCAATGAGATTTTTTAACTAAATCAATAAACTACTAATAATAAATTTAAAAACTAAAACTGAATAAAATATA